CTCTGAATTCTGCTTTCTCTCTTCCTTTGCAAAAAAAACCTAGGTCTCTGGCTCCTGTCAAATTCTGTCTCTCATTCTGCATTTCCTACTGTCCCCCTTCATGAGTTAGAACAAACCCAGCGTGAAGCTGACACTTGGCGTAAGGTTGTTGCTGCTGCCTTTATAGGTCTTGATGCAAAGAGGAAACATTACATCATCCTGTGGAATGAAATTGGGAATCACAGGAAAAGAAAGTGTTCAGAAGAGCTCTGTGTTCTTATGTAAACACAAGTATACGCACATTCTTGCAATGAAAGGCCATGTTCTCATCCTCAGTTTTTATAAGGAATGACAGTCTACTGATGAATGAATGCAGATACACATGGTTAAGGGGTTTCTGACCCCTCAAAATCTGAGCGTCCCTAGAGAATGTTAGATCATGTGAGCTTTTTCATAAGAGGGATGTAGAGCCAAATCTCTGTAGTACTTGATGTACATCAGCTACAAATACCAGAGGCTAGTGGGTTTGGTATCTTCTTAGTCTTCCCTGGAAGGGGATGGGAAGCTGTGGAAGATTGCCTTGATGCTCACTTTTCCCACTGGATATTGAGAGCTTGGGTAGAGATCCTAAAAGGGACCCCTCTGCTGCCCCGGCCCAACGCTGCTCGTCCGGCCGCCCGGCGCGCAGCTTCCCCGGCTCGGCTGTCCCCGCAGCGCTCCTGCAGGCCGTGCGCCGCCCGTGGATCCCCCAGAAAGGGGAAATCTGATCTTCCACAGCGGAGAAGGGACAGAAGTCACCACCCCATCCCCTGTTGCCTCATCTTCCTCATCTCTCCTCCTCTTCACCGTCTCTCCCCGTGCCGCCGCCCGCACGGGCACGGCCGGGCCCGGTCCCACCTGCGAGGTGCCCTTTGCTGTCTCTCCTTTGAAGCTCGGCTTGGGAGGAAGAGGAGGGGTGGGGGCGGGAGCCGGGGCTTTGCCGGGAGGGAGCCTGTGCCCTTCTCCATGGCTAGGCGGGAGGAGAGGAGGCTCCCGAGGGGGGGCGCCGGGAGCTGACTCAGCGGAGCAGGCCGGCATGTTTTCCCGGGAGCACGGCTTCCCCGCCGGAGCCGGCGGAGGGGACGGAACGGCTGG